AGGCCCGGTCCCTTCGGCGGGCGCTGGGGCTTCCCCCAGACTCCGCTCCCACGGGCTCCCGCCAGCGCGGAGGAGTCCCCGCCGCGCCGCTTCCTGGGGAAGAAGAGAAGGCGGCAGCAGCGGTGGCCAAGGAGCCCGGGCCCGCTTCAAGACGCGCTGCTGCCCTTTCATCAGCTGCCGCGGTCTTGGCTATTCCCATTCTCAGTACACACACATCACCTGCAACTCGTGTGTGTGCGTGTGTGTGTGTGTGTATGTGTGTGTGTGTTTAAAAGATGGGAGACACTGGACTGGCTAACGGGCCTCAGGACCCTCTAGGCCCTGGAATACCTAAGGCTTTGGATGGTGGAAGGAGTGCAACTGTGATGCTCCGTCTGCCACAGCACCCGTAGGGTGACGCTTCCGTGGTGTGGTAAAGGCTGAATCCGGATAGTCCTGGGGCGGCGGAGCAACCCGATACGCTTCTGTCTGTGAAGTTGCTAGCCCTGGGTTTCTACTTCCGCCGGGGCCTCTCCACCTTTTGCAGTCTTGGGTCTAACTTAAAAAAGTTTTACTGAAGAAATGAGTGGGGTTAAAATAGGTCCACCTTGTTCTTAATTGAGACTCTGTTGTCCATCTAGGAGAGAAAACCTGTAACTCTTGATGACTGTGGTCCTTTTCGAATACGAGTTGTAGTTTTCTTTTATAAAAGCATTTCCAAGGTTTTAGAATTTGCATTTATTCCAGGCCCTGTGAATATGGTATTACCACCATAAAAGTCTCATACGAGTACCACCCCTCCGAAGAAACCTAAACATCAACTTCCTTTGAGTCCTAAGAGATGCCTTCACTTTTCAACATCCAGAGGACCGAATGCAATACATTTTGTTTCATTTTCATAAAACTCTTGGTCGAAGAATCTTCCTTAATCTTCAGGACGGTTTCTAATAAGTATAAGAAAATTAGTATATATTGATATCAACCTTTAGATTCTTGGCGAAATGGTAGAAGGTATTGAGTTACCAAAATCTGTTAACAAGGGAGGCCATACTTGAATTTTGTTCAGAGTTGAACACATTTCCTGTCATACTTTATATTAGGAATTTCTAGATCTCTAGAATAAGTCCAATTTTTGATTTGCCTTTGGAAACAACGTAAGTGGAAGTAATTACGGGGAGGATAGAAATTTGAAACTACATATTTACATACCAGGTTTATGTTGAATTATTAGGGAATGTTTGCTGTATTTGATAACATTTGTTTCCCAAACATCAGTGAACACATCTCTTTTGCAATTCCAAAAGATAACTTTGTTCTAGATTTAAAGGGTTAATTAAGAATCACAGTGGAGCGCTATGGTTAAATGTCTCTACATTCAAATAGTTAGATGTCTACATTCTGATATCTTTTCATTAAAACACTTCTTAATGGACCAAGATCTTTAGTAAGCTTTGTATGTTGAACTCCTCTTCAGTTTGTAGTTCTTTTGTAATATTAAATCCGAAGGAAAAAATACAAAATGCTTGTAAAAAGGCAAAACTCCTCCATTTCTTTGATTTTGTAAGATCCTCATTTAATTTTACAGTTACTTTTCTCTCATCTTTTTCTGAGGGCTTGAATTGCAGTGACTTCTGTGAATACTTTGTATTTGAGATAGGAACTGAAAAACATTTTTTAGCATCCTAATTAATGCTGTATCCATAAAAAAATTAACGTAAGCATCATTTGTTGGCAGAACCCTTTTATTTTAAGTGTGCTATGTAGAGATATCTGTAACCTAATCTGATGCTGTTGGGGAATGAGAATTGCCTGTATATTTAACCAAGCAACAAATATAGCCTTTAAAAAATTTCTATAATACTTTCATTTTAAAATAATTTATATGGTGGAAAAATGAGGGCAAAATGTGAGTATGTGTGACATATCCCTTTCATTTGAAAAGTACTTGATAAGATAAACCTCAGTATATTCCTCCTCAGGAGAACCGATTACCTATGTTTTGATAACTTTGGACACTTAATTTGCTTTTTGATTTTTGAGATACTTTAGTTAGTTATAACCTGAAAGTTTTGCTTGTTCTAAAATAAATACTTCAGATTTGTGAGTAGATTTTATTAGAAATGCTTCTACCCCAGTTGTTTTCTGTTTTTATTTCATTAGATATTGATATTAAAAGTACTTGTATTTTAAAAGATCCTTACAGAATTTTTAACAACCCATGAGAAATTATAGTTTTACCCTTTTTAGTGACAAATTTGCTTCAGAAGATTTTCTGATAATATAGAAAAAGAAAAAGTATGGTTCATATCTATATATGAAATAATGTGTAGACTATTAATAGATTAGTAAAAACAAGTTAACTTTTTTTTGCTCTTTAAAAGTAGTGTTAACTAAAATTTTTAAATTGTCTTAAACATTTGAATTGTAGAAAGTTCATCCTTTTGTGATTACATAAAAGCAAACTTTCCATGTGCGTGCTTGAATAGGCATTTGAGGACAACTTATGCAAATAGTGATACAGTCTTAGGAGAAGATACTACTAAGATTTTATTTGTTACCTAGACCTCTAGTGGATTTTGTAACACAAAGAAGCAAAAGAAACCAAGGTACCTGGTAGGGCAGCTTTATAGGCAGGGTTAATCTGAGTTGCATTGTAATGTTTGAATAGAATTACATACAGTGTTGATATCAAGGGATCTAGTACTGTGATAGGAGTCATTGTGGCTGATGATACAGGTGACTGTTCATCTTTACTAAGGGTGGTTTCTTCCTGTGATACTTAAAGGAATTGAATTTCATTTTGATTTTTTCTGGATATTTTTAAAACAGCTATATCTAAAATTGATGTCTGTTGTATAAAGTATGTCTTTGGAAAGAAATGACTGGACATTAGGATTTTAAGTTTTTAAAGTTATTTTATAATTTTTACTTTGATTTTGTTAATTGACCCTTTTTGTCAATTTAAATATTGTGCATAATTTTAATTTTTATGTTTGGCTAATTTAAGCTCTTAAAACTCTTCTCATGAAAAGTCATTCCCAGATGGCTTGTTCGTTTATTTACTTTGTACTATTAGGATGACCTGGAAAAAGAATTCCTAATATATTTTTTTATAGCTTGTTCTCTGAAATACAGGTGCAAATTCTTGGTATATCACTTGCAGGTATGCTGTATTATGAACTAATAAAATGGTTTACAGTGTTTATTTTTTGGTAAGACCTTATAGCTTATATTAAATGGAAATGCAAAAAAATAAGAGGAAAAGACAAAGTTTCCCTTTACTGGACACACATAAATATATAATAAGTTGTATATGCTTAGACTCAGGATCTAAGTCTATTTAAATGTAGATATTTTGGACGTATTTGCCACTTACCCTGAAAGCTTTTTTTAATTCCTCTCTTTTTTTTTTTCGCTTTCATGTGTATGTTTTTACATGTGTGGGAGGCTTATTTTTACTATCATTTCTCTGTTTGACAGACTTACTCTTCAAAACTATTCTAGTGTCACTTTCATGACAGAACCTTCCCTGACTCCCTAAATTTTTCTACCATACTGCTTTTAGTCTTGAAACTTCTCTTAATTGCTTTTGTCACTCTGTGTTGTAATTTACTATCCAACCCTGCTATCTACCATAACCTCCACTAGACTGGAAAAACCTAAGAGGTAGGGCTTTGTCTTATTAATATTTACATTTTTAGTGCATTCTATAGTGCCTAGTACTTAGTAGGTTATCAATAAATATGCAGTAGACTGAACTGGTTCCATTGTCATTTGACAGTGCTGTCAGAGGGCTTTTGCCAATCCACAGATCAGAAACAACAGATTTGAAAAAGGGTTGGGGAGAGAGGGAGCATCCTGTATTCCTTTACTTCCTTGAATCCTTTCTTACAGTTTTGATTCTAATTACCTAGGGGAAACTAGATAACCAACGTAGAGAAATGTGTATAGAGTGAGTACAGGACTAAGGAAAGATGTTAGTAATAAAGTGCGTCTGGCAGAATGTTTAAGTCTGTATTTCTTGCTGTTTTTTGTATGGCTAAGGTCACTAAGGTCATTGAAGGAGATATTTTGTATTTATAGTTACATGGTAGTATGTATTTACCATGGCTTAACCACGTTAGGTCATATATGTTATATACACTATTTTACCTTTCTAAAACTTGAAAATTACAATACTGAGAAACATTTGGCCTTTAAGAGTTTGAATAAAAGATTGTGCACCAGTTTCATGTCAGTTTTTTGAGATGTAGAAATCAAAACAGTAAATGACTCCCAGAATTGCATTGAGTAGAGATGCCAACATATGACTTAAGATTTTAGAAATCTTTTGTTTTATTTGCCTATATATTTTCCAGAAACTAATGATGATAAACTACTAAAGATACAGAGATGGCGTATTTTTTTTAAAAAGATAATTTGATCTAGTACTCAGGACACCAGTCCTTTCTCTGCTTCTACTGATTTGAAATGGTTTTCTTTATGTGAAAGTAGATGAGAATACACACTTAGTAAATTTTTACTTTGCCAAGGAATGATAAAATAAGAGAAAATTATGTGTCCTGGCAGTTTAGGTAACAGTAAGTAAGTAGACTTGCCCCCCCCCCCAAACACATTGATATACTGTTTTTCCATTTATGTATTTGAGTGTTGGAACATAACTGCATTAACTGCATTT